GCATTTTCCAAAAGATTTCACTTGAATTGCAAAAAGGAAATCAGAACTGGTCCCATTTCCACTCCCCTAAACTTACAGAAACATTCACAAGCTATTTTGCCCCTTCTGCCTCTGCAATTACATCAGCACACCAAGCAGTGAGCTGAAATCAAACCAAATTTTATAAGATGGATGGATCAACAGCTACATAGTGATGTCTACCCCATAATCGTCCTTTCAAAGCTAATCAAAGTGTAGTGATTGCTGTTTGATTGATTCATTAAGCTCAGGATTCGATGAACAACAATAAGCCAAATCCGAGCATATTTTTTTTCTGCTTCAAAAGTGAAACTTTAGAATTTCATTTTATTAAAAAACTGTACTCCGTGAACTTTAACATTAAATAAAATCGGCTTCAGAAGCTTCTGTTTCAGAAAGCAGCACCCACCTAATGCACTGTGGCCTAAAGTACAAATAAGAATTTAATCCACATTAATACTCGGCGTCAAGGGCACTACCAACCGAGAAAAGATTACACAAAATTTACTTACTGGCAATCAACAAAGTTTCACATCAAAAGTCCTTTCTCGCAGGCTCAAAAAAAAAAACAGCCTATTCAGTTTCCACATGAATAACAGGAGGAAAGCAGGGATACAAAGCAACATCTACTTTCTTTTGCAATTGGTGCTACATTGAGTGCATGAAGGATTGATTGATAGCATGTGGCTCACATAAATGGCTGTACAGTCATAGAAATTAATTTTTGTAAGGTAAAATGCTATTTTAGTTCTATTGATTTGGAGCCACAAATTTCAAAACTTTTGTTTAACAGAATATATTTTGAAACACGTGTTTAAAATCATCCAAAACATTGTATGCTATGTAAAATGCCTCATAATCCCACTCTTATGAGCTGCATGCTCACACAGATTATCTATCTGAAAGACAGAAGCTCATGACAACGTCCTATAATGGTAAAATATTGAATCCAAAATGAAGTGAAATCATGTGATGTAATGTCGACATGTTCCATATAAACAAGATTTTTGTATTGCAACTGCAGTCTGAAAAGTGAACCATGATATTCAATTCTATAATAATTCATACTAGTATTATGATAGTTAAATAAAGTCAGCCCACAATTCCAATAATTACATGTAACTCAATTCCTTCATAAACTTATACTAAAATAGTTATATTGCACAGTTCTTAAAATGGATTTTTTTTTTCTTTTCTCATGATTTTTCTCCCCTCCTCAAGGCAATGAACTCTTGCTGGAGTACACCATTCCTCGTATCTCAAACAAGCAACTATACCTCATATGAGAGTCAGCCATTGACAGTTGGCAAACTATTAAAAACAGAAGTGGTTGTGAAGGGGGAAGGGGGCATCACAGCAGAGCCCTACAAGAGTTTTGTAGTTTTTAATATATTAGATCTTCAAAATATGCAGAGGAAACACACACTCCAAAGAAACAAAAATAAACTCTAGCAGATGTAGGACATTTTTAACGGCACCAGTTTATTTAAGTTCAAGAAAAAAAGTTTCTTGAATGGCACACAATCAGCATTCCGTTTGAAATTATCTCCTTATTTTCTAGCAATGTTGTTTCTATGTTATTAATTGAATGTGAAATACACTCCAGTCCCGTGATTATAAAGCTCTCAACTATGACAGATTTTTCTTTACAAGGTACATATTTTATGAAGTACTGAGAAACATTTGATGTTAGCAGCTCATAGTCAAGCATATAAAAGCTTTATCTTCTTCACATTTTACAAGAACAGAGAGCAATTCACTAACACTTTAAGTAGTAGCAAAGAACATAAATACTTTCATTCCTGGGTATTCAGACACGATTTTTAATAATTGTTTTCAAAAAATTAGGTCGAGACTATCAGCAGACAGCAGAAAAATACCATCTCTGACGCAGCATAAACCTCAAAGACTTCATGTTTTTTTCTACAAGAAAAATACAACCTTCAATGACTCCATATTCTGCTCCAACCACGTAAGCAGGCTTACTCAGACCATGTGACACCTCGGCATGCTGCAATCCAGAGGTAAATTTGAAACTTCTCATCCTCCTTCACATGGCTACTGCCATCCCTATAGCATTAACTGTTTCTGGCATATCTTACATCCACTATCCCTGATGGCATAACCCACATACTTTGTGATCTCTACAACCAACTTCACCAGACCTTCCAGGTCAGCCTCCAATCCTCCACTTGCTCAAAGCTCAGCTGCCCATATATTGCCCATTCACTCACTATACCCACCTTCACTGACTAATTTATTTTCTTTCCAACAAAATGGTAGTAATCGTAATCTAACATATCTATGAGAAACTAGAAGATCAGATACAAAATTTAGAACTTCAGCAATCGTACTTTCCAGTGACTTCACAAAGAATAAGATTAGGTGTCCAACCTAATCCCAATTTCCTGCCTGGCAGATTAGGTTAAAATTATATCAATTGAATTTCAAATCCGTCTTTAATCTTGCCCCACTTTACCTCTAAAACATCTCCATACTTTGAAACTTATGTCTCACTGACAACACTCTGGGTAGGTTGTGAGATAAGTTTAAAATCCCATTCCAGAATACCACATATAGACTCAGTAGTGAAAAAATGCCATCTTTCAAGTGAGCTGTTGCACCAAGGTTTAGTCTGCCCTCTCATGAAAATACACGAGATTCCACAGCACTATTATGATGTCCTGCCCAATATGTGGTTTTCAGCCAAACTCACAAACAGTGTATAAGATCATCATCACAATGTTGTCTGCAGACACAGCGTGTGAATTGTTTGACACATCTCTATCTTACAAGTAACCACATTACAAAAGTCTATAAATTGCCTTTAAAATAATTTAGGACATTCAAAGGTTATGACATACATTATGTAAATGTTATATCTTTCTTTTTGTATCCTACATCCATCAGTTCTCAATTCCTGGCCATTTAAGCAACCTGACTTCACCCTCTTCTCTGAACTATTATTGTTAGCAGAGTTTCCATGCTACAGGTTAAAAAAGATATCTTTTGTCAAAGCTTATTGCCTTGCACTTATCTGGGCACCTCACAAGAAATACTAATGTAAAATCAAAACAATATTTTTTATACTATGCATTGGGTATTATCATTTAAACAAAGCTAGGCATTCAACTGTCAGTCAGTATCTAATGTATATTCTTCATGGCAACAGCTCTATCATTCAGAGTTCACTCTATTTTCATGCAGCATACAAAAGCTGATTTCCCTTTAAATTGGTACTTTTCATGAATTATCCTGATGAGTTTCAACAAAATGTGTCTTTTTTCAGCTCAAGTTCTGCAATACTGAATGGTTATTAATCATAGCACATGCGTGCTGCCTCTCTGAAGGAGACCTCCACCAAGTGCTACTCCGCTATTTTCTCCCCATGGAAACATAAAAAGTAAGTGCACAAGTGGGTTATTTGACCATTCGAGCCTGGTCCACCATTTAGATTGATCAATGCTCATTATCCAACTTGGTACCCTATTCCCACTTTCTCCTAATGGCCTTTGATTCCTTTCACCCTAGAACTATATCTAATTTCTTCTTGGAAACATACAATGTTTTGGCCTCAACTATTTTCTGTGGTCTTTACAGGGTCACCACTGAGTGAAGAAATGTCTCCTCAACACATTCACCCATGAACATTCTTCTTTTTCAGCTAATAATTCCATTCCTGTTGGAATGCCTCAATTGAACTTGCCTTCATCACACTTTCAGACAGTGCCGTGCAGACCCTAACCACTTACTACGTAAATAAGTAATTTTGCTTCTTCTACCAATTACCTTAAAATTGTGCCCTCTGGTATCCCCATCAGACATCATGTTGTATTTGTATAGGGCGTTGGTGAGGCCACTTTTGAAGTACCGTGTACAGTTATGGTCACCCTGCTGTAGGAAGAATATTTTGAAGTTGGAGAGGGTACAGCATTTACAAAGATGTTACTGGGACTGGAGGATTAGAATTATAAGGAAAGGCTGGATAAGCTGGGACTTTTTTTCACTGGAGTGTAGGAGATTGGAGGATGGCCATACAGAGTTTCATAAAATCATGAGAGGCATAGAGAAGGTAAATAACAAAGCTCTTTTCCCTCAGGTGGGAGAGTTCAAAACTAGAGGGCATAATTATAAAGTGAGAGGAGAAACATTTAAAAAGGACCTGAGGGGCAACTTTTTTCACACAGAGGGTGGTTCATATTTGGAATGAACTGCCAGAGGAAGCAGTAGATGCAGGTGCAGTTATTACATTTAAAAGACATTTGGACAGGTACATGAATAGGAAGGGTTTAGAAGGATATGGGCCAAATGCTGGGAAATGAGACTAGTTTAGTTTGGGAAACTTGGTCGGTATGGCCAAGTTGGACTGAAGGCTCCGTTTTTGCGCTATTTGACTCTGACTCTATAATAGGAAGAGTTTCACCCTAGCTCTATCAGATTGAATAGTATTCTTATACTGAACTTTTGTAACAATGAGTTTAAAACAGTAAGTATTTGGCTGTCAAATCGCATACATAAGCAATACTTTTTTTAAAATCCATAAGGAATCTATATTTATTGCATCATTCTTCAAGAACCTTTCTTTTCCTTTTGCTGCACTTAGTAAGCTATTTTAGGATACTATATCTACAATAATTTAGGTATAAAACTGTCATATGATTTCTTAGTATTATCTTTAGTATTTGCAGAATTATCTGCTGTAATTACAAACATATGAAATGATCAATATATTATATAGGCACACACTATGTGTTGGAAATTTTTATGGATCAAAAGTCTCTTCTGTAAGACTAATTCTAGTGTTATTACTGAGTTTAAAAATAAATTGTTAGTCAGACTTAGCATATCCTTCAGCATTTGGTTATAACAATCTAATGTGTTGCTTTTAGGAGAAAAGTCTGGTATTCGAATGTAAAAGATTCAAGAACACAGTTGGGATGCCCCATGACATAAAAGAAAAACAAACTCGCATTATTTGTTACCTCAGTCTTCCACTTGTATAAAAGCGATCATGACAAGATTGTGGCACGGTGGCAATGTTCCTACCCCTGGACCGAGAGGGCCGGGTTCAAATCCCATCTGCTCCAGAGATGTTAAAAATCTCTGACCAAGTTGATTAGAAAAATATTTTAAAGTAAAAATAAATACAGTAACGATCTATTTCACAAATCACTCCGACGGAAAATAAAGTAACAGCGATATACAGAAGGCATCAAAATTACAAAATCTGAGTAAGAACAGCAAGCATTGGAAGTACCAAATTCTGTAAAAGGTCCTTCATTTTTAAATTACTTTCAGCTTTCTGTTCAGATGCTTATTGATTGGCTGAGGAAATCCTGTGTGTTTCGTTTTTGGTAACACCAAAATAAACTAATTACAACGAAACTCACCCTCAGTAACCTTCTTGACGTACCCACAAAATAACACTACATCTTTGGCAACAGCAGCCATTCTGCATTATTCAAGAAAGATAAATTATGGACACAATACAGGAAAAAGTATAGAATTTCGCTATAGTTCAGCAGTAGACAATTTGCACAATGACGTCAGTTGGTTCTGAATACTGCAGGCATCCCTCACTCACAGGATTAGACAAACGTTAAAAGAATTTACCATAAACAATATTGTGGGTTCTTATCTGAACCTTTAAAACTAAAATATTTAGTGTGCAAACTATATATTTAAAAAGTGTAAACGTTTTGATCTGAACTGTCATTCATAACAATGTTGAGATGGAGTTCACCTAAATAAAATGCCTTATTCTCAGAATGGATCATTCTTCCAAAATATTCTGGAAGAATGGCAGACCTCATCGTAATTCACTACAAATATTCATTTCCCGAGCCAGGTGTCATGAAAAAGTTGTATTTTTCAAAATTCGCATTACCAGAAATTCGAAGGTACTTTATATGAAATGGGAACCCTGTTATTTGCGTTGATTTAAACAGAAACGCACGTTACAACAACCTTTAACTGCAAACTGCAGAGTTAACGTTGTTTTCTCGGTTAGAAGGAAGCTCAGCTCTGATTATCAAGAGTAGCATTTCGCCAATTAACAATCAATCAACGCCTGCAACATTTTGGAAAGCACGCTTCTCTCTAAGTAAGGCACTTCTGAGTCTAAACCAGGGGAAAACAAAAACTTGAGAAGAAAATAAAATTCATACTAATTTCACTAATGTAGCATTGCCAATGTTGGAAAGAGACAGACATGTACCAAACCGATACAGAGGCCCTCAGCTCAAAAGCAACGCCGAGGCGTTGCCCGCGGCCTACTTAAACTAAACATAAAGGATGCAAAGAGCTTTTAATTTTTTTTCCCGCTACCAAAGCCCTTGCTGCATTTGCTGATGGAGAGTGCCCGGAGAGTTTAAACAGTACCCAGCCCACCTGTCACTCACTCAGGCCCGTCTGTCCCGGCGGCTCCGTCACCATGACAGCCGGTGCCGTGCGCGCTCCCCCAACCAGCGCAGAGCTCCGACGCGTGCGCGCCCCCTAGCCGCCTCCGTCACAATCCACGCACGGACAGTGCACACCGCGCGCGGCTCCGGGGGTTGAGGGACGGACGAATGGGCGCGCGCGGCAGCTGCCCTCACCACTGCGCTGTGTTAAAATTTAAAGCCTCTCTCCGGAATATTGCCTATTTGCTGCTTTCTGCAGCAGAGATGCTCCCACCCCTCAGCTGCTATCTATTCCCGACATGGCTCAGTCTGGGGCATTCCGTTCTCTCTCTTCAATGCACCCAGTTTCATATCTTCCTCCAACAATTGTTCTTCAAAAGTCTTTGACACTCTCAAGAGTGTGAAAAGTATCTTCGTCTTCTGGGCAGCGTTCAAAGAAAAGTAGCACAATGACTGGCGGCGAAATATATGTGTGTATATATATATATATATATTAAAAATTGCACTTCGGGAAATTGCAAATTGTCCTGATGCCATCTGTTGAGCCCAGTGAATTGTATCTGCAGCGTGAAGTGGCTTGAGTTACACAATTGAAGACGCATCCAAAACATTTTTTTTGCTGTGAATTTTACTTTATGCTGTTGTCACGCTACACTTATTTTAAAACTGATGGGAGTTGCTATGTGTGTTTGCACAACATAAATCCTTCTGGATTGCAAGCGGTAGCCAGCTCCGGACTGCACCTCTTCACCTCAACTTACTTAGCAATATATTCCTGTTGGGACCTAAGAACTGAAATATTTGTGTCTTCAAGATAACAGTGTAAACTTTGCTGTCCTCGGCTCATGGTAGAGCCATGGTGTGCGCTAACCCTGTGAAAAGGTCAAATGTCAGTGCAATTTGATCCTGTGGGGTTTCATGTTATATTAAATTTGATGCAGATAGTTTACATCGGGTCTGCTCCTTTACTGAAGTGGTATTATTAGCTTACTGGTAAACTCAGTCATTGCCAGGAATACACCACACCCTAAAGTCTATTGAGAGAATGTGAAAGTGACTGCTGGAAATAGGAGCTCCAAACTTTCAGCTGGATATAAAATGTCTAGTCTCCCTTTGCTCCTTTTTATTTTGCCAAAGCTTTGACGATATTGTTTTATTATTTATTTAACGTGAGTTAGAGATTTCAGTTTACCCATGGCTTTGACATTTAACCTAGATTTCTGATTTTGTTTGGCCTCGCAATTTCCAAAATTTGAGTTCTCTTTTTTTCCAAAATCTTCTAGGGATGGTACTATACATTTTTAACATTAAACATATCAAATCTGCCCTCCCCCATTATGAAATTTCTGGAATCATTTGTGTAGACACTGGTTGGTATGTGTTAAGTTGATTTTTTGGGGTTCCCAGACCCACGTGAATTTGTAGCCTGTGAAGGTATTGGATCCTGCCATTAGAAGTTGCTCACCTTATGTACTTGTTCCAGGTCTTTTATGCACAATTACCTTTAGACGTATATCTCACCTTTTGAGGTTTACTGATTTTTAGAAGCAGTTGTAAGAGCTAGGTGGATACACATGCTGAATGCGTACTCACTAGTACTGCATTGATCCTAGTTAACACCTCAGCATTATATGTAAAGTTTAAGATGAGACTTTAAAGCTGATTTACTAGAATTATACAGAAATGGTATATTACAACAGTGAGGGTATTTAAAAAGTACTTTGTGGGCTGTAAAAGTACTTTGGGATGTTTTGAGGTTGCAAATGGTTCTATATAAATTCATTCTTTTTCCAATGTCCATTATAAGTTAGACATCCTTTGAAAAGAATTTGGGCTTTCAAAGTATTTATTGGAATAATTTTGTATTTAATTGTAGGATAGGAGATGCCTGGGATTCAAAATGCAATTCAGTACAATAATTCTGATGATGTCAACTGTATATACAAACTTCTCACCAAAAAATTACAGAACTCCAAAATCGAACTATGACATTATTCTCACTGTCAGTTGTTTGCTGTTCTTCCTAATAGTTATTTCCTATTGTGGCATAGTTGGCCCAATTGGGCACATGAAAGGTAATGCAGGTTTTTTTGTAATTAGTACAACAAAATTTTTTTGTATTAGAAAAAATGACATCTTAATCCACAAAGAAATACAAAGTAGAAAACAGTGCTAGAAATACATTAATCAAACAACACCTGAAAGGATGTTTCCCAATTAAATCCTTCCTCTGAACCTAAGATATATTAGCAAGAGTCCCTCCTGAAGAGTTTTACGCTTCAGCTCCTGCCTGCCCTGCTGTATATTTTCAAGTTACCGCAAAAAAATCTGAGTACTATCTAAAAGTGGTCCCTGTGCACAAAAATGCATTATGAATGATTAAATTTAGCATTTTCAAATCTCTAACATTCCATTTTAAATAACCATTTAAAAAAACATAGTTTAACTATTTGTACACTGTAGGTACACCATGGAATCAATTTGACTTAATGCTAATATTAAGTTGATACTTTTGAACATTTTTATCAATGGTAATCGTCTAGCAATGTCATTTATGATATGTTTGTACATTTACATAAAAGTTTTAATTTTTGTTACTTGCAGCTCAGATCTGTTTAGATATAAGAGCACTTTTTAATGAAGGAAGCTCCGTAACAGCAGAAAAAGCCTGTGAATTTTTAATAAACTTTAGATTATTGTGTTCAATATTCAAATCTCATGCCTTAATAGTATGTAGCCTTTGTTCACTTGGAGAATTCAAAGTGTTTTCGCAAATTCTCCAGATTTTTCTTTTTTAGTTAAGCTTTCTTTTACTGAGTTGTGCATTAATCTTAAACCATTTATGTCATGCAAATTATAATATCAATAAATTACTGTCAAAGCAGTTGGAACTGTAGCACAGCACTTTTCTCATCAAGGAAGTCACTCTCAAAGGAAATTATACATTCATTTAAACTGAAGTGACCCTGTTTATAACTTGTCTTGTGTGGTTTAACAGTATTTAGTCAGTGTTGTGCATATTAATGATGCTTTATTGATTACAGTCAAATGCATCCGGCATATGCTTTAGAAATTGTTTACAGCTTGCACAATATTCCCTGAATTAAAATCTTTTATAAAGTAACTGCTGTGTAACTTGCTGAGAAATTATTAAACCGTTCACATCATACTCAGATTTGATCTATGTGTGTGTGCAATAATTTACTGAAAAATAGATAAGTAAACTTTTCAAATTCCTCATTCTTCAAATTCTCTTAATGACAATTTTCCTTATCTAGTACAGTGCAGATCAATTCCACACTAACATTTCTGTTCTAGTTGCATTCACATCATTAGTCCCACTGTAAAATGAATTTAACTTTTGTGATGTTCCTGTGTGTTGGAACCTGAGATTGAAATTTCTAATTTCAGTAAGATTAATTCTGGGAGCAACACCTCTGTAACAGCAAATTCAGACACCATTATCCTTTTACAGCAGAAGAAAACAAATTTATTTACTATTAGATTTTGTATTGCTTTATTGAATTTTTTAAAAGGAGCAATCTGAAGCATAACTACAAACCAAATCATGAACTATTTTTCTTGAAGATGTGGACTGTTTAAATTGTATAGGCTTCATGGTTTGAATGTTAAATATAGTTCAATCATTTGTTGAAATCAAATAAATCACTGCTGGTCTATTGTAAAATTTGTTCCAAACGTTGATTTTATGCCGTTACCACATGCACAGCGGTGTCAAGACTTTTTTAAAATTTGATGGAACAAGGCAACATGTCTTCGTTGTCTTTTATTAGATCACTATTTATAAACCGTGCCTTTGCTGCATTCTTGATTAATGTGTTAATGACAGCATTCATGGGCTTTCTTCAGAAATGTTCACTCACACGTCCACACAGAATCCAATCAACTCTTGAAACCTTACTTCTATTTTTATCACTTTACAAACCTTGCTATCCGTGTCCTGATGACAAACATGCTGAAGTATGAAAATAAATAACATCTCCTTATACATGTTAGAACATAGTACAGAACAACTGCTAAACAATTTTGAGGTTGTTAATGTTTTATCTGTTTAGTGATTTCCCACGGTTGGATTGGGAATTAAACTTATCTTTTTAGAGTAATCCAGGGAGGGTCATTTAATGTAATATTTTATATTTTAATGAATATAAGTAGTAACAAGAAGAAATCTGCTGTTGCATTGAGGGTCAGATGGGGGGGGAGGTGTGGAAATCAATTGATCTACTTTTTTCCCTCCTCAGAGAGATTATAATATTATTCTCAAGGATTCTTGTGTGCTTATTCTTATAACCAAGCGTTATTTTAAAACCAATCAATCATAAAACAAATTACAGAAAATGAAAAAAACAAACATGACTAAAGGTTTAAAAGCTTCACTTTACTCTGTTTTATGTGTGCTCTAACTGAAACATATGTATTTTAGTTTTTTTAATGCTTTCCATCACTATGGGTGTGCAGTGAAAATATTATCAAAATGCTTGGGGCATTCTCAGACATGTAACGATCCTCACTGTTTTTATTCTTGCAGATAATTATGTTGAAATAAGTTCACAGATCTTCAGAGAACACCTTTAACAACAGTTCTGTTCAAATTGCTATGCAAATTCAAACCTGTCAATATGTTATTCTACAGGATAGCATTAAAGAACAGTATTTTATTAACCTTTAATAACAGCAATAAAGTATTTCTTAAAAACATGTTAAAGTTCTGCTGATAGAATATTTCTGAATATTTGAATTCATTTTCCTAATGTCAGAAGAAATGTATCATCATCATCTCTATATGGCTCAAAACTGTGCACTAAGAACCTGCTGCTACCTTGGCCTCTGAATATTCAAAGTAATATGTTAAAACTACCATTGACGATGAAAGGACGGGATTGTCCCTAGATTTTTCATATGATAGGATAACTAAGTAAAATGTAGCTCCTTGTCTACTAGTACCAAAATCCCAGATGTTGTTTTCCAAAGTGTACTACAACTTCAATCTTGAATTCAAGACATTTCATCAGATGTCACCATTAGGGCAGAGACTGGATTTTTCTTTTGCGAGAACATGTACAGTTATGAGCTTACAATTATGATTTCACTCATCAAAGTTCTGTGACTTTGTCATAGTATATTCAAAACATTAAGCTTTGAGAAAATGCAAGTGAAAAACTTGATTTAAAACTTCACTGCAAAGTTATCAGTCTGTGAAAACCTGTGCCTGCAATATGCTTTAAATGGAAAAATATAGCTGATGATAAGAGAAAGTAGTCTTCGTATGGATGCTTATATTTAAGCACATCTTATATATACATATCATGAACCATATATGAGTGTCAGAATATTTTCAAGAAAAATGTGATTATATTTTAAAGTGTATAGTGCTGAAGTATTCTTAAATGGTCTTGCTTACATATAGAACTGAATGGTTTTGAAAAGAATTGTACAATCCCAGGTAAGCAAGACACTACATTATTTAATTGGATTTTGCAATGGACATCTTTTAAAAATCTCCCTTTCAACTAAGAAAATTGATTTTTTTTAAGAACCAATCAATTAATTGGTATATTCCTGAGATCAACTTAAACGAGCTGTAAAAGCTGTTTCAAAATCAATGGTTTGGCAGATCAAAAACTGCATGTCAATCACAATCACTGGTCTTTTAGTTATCATCTGATCTCCGATTTGTCTTCATTATGTGTAATGTATCTTAATTGCCTGCTGGAAATTCAGACTGTAGTGTAACTAGATTCTGGTTACAATATCATGGAGACACTGTCTAAGCCACCACTGCCCTGCTTCTGTGAGAACCCCAGTTCTTTATTCAACAAGACAACATTCCATTTTGTTAACCTATGCAGTCTGGATGATCAAATGATAGAGCTGTGTATACATCTCACAACTTAATCAAAAGCCCAGTATTGATTTTCCTTCAAATTAGATCCTGTTAATAAAATCTAGATAGCTTATTTAAAAGAAGCCTCTATTTTATGTGCCAGCAATGTTACATTTCTGATGGTGCTACGCATCTAATTAGCAGAGTGGATGAAAGATGGAATATAGCTTGTAGGTTCAGCTGCAATATCACCTTTGAAAGCCTGAATCAACTAAATACAAGGTAACACAAGAAATAAATTCTCCTTCATGTAGTGCCAATATGCCCAATCCTCATTTAGTCTGTTGCTTTCCTCTCAGCAAGCTTATGAAATAAATCCAACCACATAATTTTGTTTATTTTGAGATGGTGAGAGAATTATAAAAGTGGACATTGAGTGAAATAAATAGGACGACAATATAAATTTAAGTTAATAAATATTTTTTTGTTAACAATGCTGTGGATGAAACTGTAATTCTTCATGGTTTGAAGACAATCCTACAGTTAGGAAGGAAACACTATACATTATTATGCACATCAGTTTTCTGCAGTGATGTCCATAGAACCTTAAGCTGCACGTACAGGTCCTAGTTTGGCTACATTTTATTCGAGCATGGTCATTTCCAAGAGAAATTACAAATTGAAAATTTAATAATACTTTTACAAAGACAATTCAGGAAAGATTTCTGTCATGGTATCATACATTGTATTTTAACAGTCCCTCTTTTTTTAGCTAAAAAACAGATGAAGAAAGTGGAATTTTCAGTCGAAAATACAGTGTTTTCACAAGATCGTATCAAAAGTTCTCAAATTTGGAATCCAGTAATTGGAAAACAAAATAAAATAATAAATTGAAAATTCGTATCTCACAATTAATGTTTGAAAACACAATAAATGCTCTTCTCATTACGTAAAATTTGCCCAAATGATCAACCTCATGTTCCTTTACTAAAATATATCTATATATTGAAGAACTATAATACTGTACACTACAGTATGAAATAAATAAAATTAGGAAATATAAAATGAGCAACATAAATAAATGTTATTTGACCTAAAATAAAATGAATGCAAATTGTTGCAAAGTTTGGTGTAATACTGACAAATTAATGAACAAAAAAAGTACAGAAAATTGCACAAACGTATGTAAACTAACGAACTGCTGCCTAGAATCTAATACTGACATGGGTGCTTCAAAGAACAGGGTGAGCTGTTTAACACTGAAGCTGGTGCAAGGTAACTTTAGTTACCTCTTTTAGCACTATACAAGGATGGCACTTGCAGAACACACAGATTAAAAGGTTTGCATATAAGGCTTTTTAAAACCACCTTTCAGAAGGCTTCCTCCACCATCAGACCCTCTTTCTCTCTCTCTCTCTCTCTCTCTCTTTCTCTCTGATTCTCTCTCTTACTCTCACTCTTTCTATTCCATCATAGCTGGGTCACTGTAAGACTTCAATGTCTAAAAAAAAATCACACATGCATCATTTCATGATCCTTCAAATAACTCTTGGGAACCTAAAATATTGTGTGGTTGCTGAAACAGGCCTAATGACTGGTTCAAACTACAAACAATCCACTAAAATACTGTTGTTTACTTATATGGGTATGGGTAGAAGCACAGGCATTACATGTTCAAGTTACTGTTGTGATAATATACATAGGTAGAAACATAGACAATACATTTCTTTTTAGAATTTTGTGTAGTAATACAAGTGGCATGTAATGCAATATACTCCACTATTTTGTGCTAAATAAGAAACTATTAACAGAAGGGTAATTATAGGCTGCTGGAACCACACATTTTTTTAGGTCCTAACACTGAACTTTTTTTTGCATAATGCAACTCTTCACAACCCAAACTTGACTAATTCCTTCTAACACTGCCGCTTTTTTTTCTTTTTTTTTCCTTTTTTTGCATCTGACAGACTGCCCCATCTGTCCAACACACAGGCTTCCAGGAAGCATCAGGCACGTGCATGTACAGCTTAACACAGCAGTGTTTCAAGCAAGTAACAATACTACTGGAAGAAGTAGGAAGCTAAAATGCAGTAGTTATTATATGCCATCTTCCACAATGTCTTCATGTTCTGATTTGGTTTCCGTTTTCTCATCAACTGAGCTATCGTCCATTGAGTGGTCACCATTTTCCTCTTCGTCTCTTATTGTGTCCTGATCTGTATCCATACTTTTATTTTCACTCTCTTCTTCTTCCTCTTCATCAAATTCCTCTTCCCCTTCTTGCCTTACTAATTTCTCCTCATCCTCGTCTCCTTCTTTTTCCTGTTCTCGTTCACTCTCTACTTCTCTTGGCATGCTTTCTCGCTCCTCAGAGTCCGAGTAGCCCTGAGGAGTAATGCTCTGTAGGTAGGGCCGATTCATCAGTAGCTCCGCAGGTTCTAAGTGACCCTTCTGGCGGGCCTCTCGTTCAGCTGCTTCCCGTTCCTCTGCCTCCCGTTTGCAATAGGAATACCTGTGGTTCATGTGCTGCGAGTAGGACCCTGAGTGTGAAAAGCGTTTGCCGCACTTGTCACACTGATACGGTTTCTCACCAGAGTGCAGTCGTGAATGTTCAATAAGATGATGCTTGTGTTTAAATGCCTTCTTACAAATTTGACATTGATGTGGGCGCTTTCCTATTAAAAAAAAAACAGATTAAGATATAATTTTAAATTTTCTAATATGATTCAACAATCTTCTAATGATTTATATACCTTTGCTGAATCTCCAAGAACATGTCAAAGTGTCAGAAATCTTCAAGTGTTCAGAATTACTGTCAATCATAGCTGTCAAAGTTACTACAGATCATTTCTTTGCCCCAAAGCTAAAAATATGTTTTGAGTACAGACTGTCTGTAATTTTGAAAAGATAATTTATGATTTAATAAAGTGGAATATTTGAATGTTTCATCAAAAAGCACAATGAAAATTCTCAAGTTACTAAAAGAGAGGTCTCCTGACAAATGTGGGAAAGTAATGATTTTATTTTCAGATAGCAGCTCTTATGACAGAAAAAAATGATATATATTTATACCAACATCAAGTTATGATACACACTTCACTTTTAACCTATGTAATTGAGAGTATCTCCTGTGGCATTTCAGCCAACGTGTGACCAGAGTTTGGAACTTGGAACCTTGGCCAAGCAAACATCTGGCTAATTCCACACCACAAATAGCACTGGAATGCATTCAACACCTTCCATAGCTGCCATACTTGAAGCAAAATTCAAAAATAGACATGACAGTAAATCCCTGTCGGGTCGGTCTGATATGATGGGGCAAAATGGAGGACAGACTAAGAAGGGAGTGATGAAACAGGATGAATGTGTGTGAGCAAATCTGGATGTGTACACGTATCCGAGTACAATAAGGAGACAAAAACAAGAAATAAATTATAAGTGTCTTAAAATGGAAAACTGGATTAAGAATCTGGACAGGCAAGAAATAGTACAGTGATGTTACCAATTACTGTGCGAGTGTTACATTGTAAAAGCTCCCACCCTTGAAGATGTAATGTCATACTTCTCAACCCATCCTCCATGAATAGATAATTCCATAGCCCATATCCTTAACTCTGTATCATGTTAAACAGCCTTCAGAAAATCTCTCTTCGCAAAATAAAACAAATGCACCATAAAATGTAATAAGTTCAATTTAATACTGTATTTTAGAACTAATACAAGAATCAATTCCAACAGGTATGGGCAGTGCAAAATAAAAATAAAAATACCTGTGTGCTCATATTTATGTCGCAGAAGGGAACTGCTTTTCTGGAATGTTTTGTCACACAAGTCACATGCATACATGCCACTTTCTGTCTTCTTGATCTTCTTTCGGGACAGACAGGAATCTGAATCTGTCATGTCATCCAAGCCTGACATGTAATCTGTAGTTCCATCAAGCAATTCCCCCTAAGATAACATACATTTTTATTAGAAAACCCACTGACCTCCAATACAAATAAATACCTTGCGCTGTCTCTTGTGATTTCACAATAGGCAAATGCAATACCATATATATAACATTTAATTTACAGGTCTCAAGTCTGAAAAGGCATTAAACCTGAGAGGCAAATGAAAGAGATTTATACATGTATTAAATGCACAAACCGAGTTTTGTGTGTTTGTGTGTGTGTATGTGTGTATATGCGTGCGCATTTACTGGTTTTATAAAATAAATTTGTCTCAGTACAGAATTCTTTAACTGGAAACTGGAAAAAGCTATTAGTTACTGATAAGGCTTACTGTGTCTGTAGCCTTGTGAGTAACTGCCTTGTGACATTCTTTTAAATTATCAGTGCTGATTACACACTTGCAGTAGCTATATTACATATCTTTATCCTATATGGTTATGATTTATTCTTAATGCAAACAGGCTGGTGAGAAAGGTCTGTAATTACTATGAAAATGACTCCTTGTATGTGAAAACAGCATTTAATTCAACAGTAAAGTACATGAAAACGTGGATTGCAACATGGCAGCATTCATTTTGGCATGAAATGAAGGGAAGTGCTAAAAGTAATCCTAAAGTGTAAAAATGCACTCACACACCTTCCCACTTTGTTAGTGCTATTACATTTCATCAACAGAGATATATTAATTAATACCTGCATAAGTTAAAATTAACTGACTGGTCTGACTATTTGTTAAATAGGACAGCTGCACCGTCAAAATGGAAAGAAAAGGTAAATGTGAATTAGGCTGTGTAGCATTCTGTTTACGAATACCTTTGTACATATCATTGTAACTTTATTGTGTCATATAAAACATGATCCTGATCAGATACCTAAATGTATCAAAGCACCCATTAGCTTCAATCAGCACCAATGTTGAAATTAAATCATCAAATGTTCCTTGATTTTACACTTATTATTCAGTGCTAGGGGTTTGGGTGTGTTCAATGAAATTATTTACTTTTAGAATATTTCTTATGTTAATACATAGACAATAAAGATGTGTTCACCAATGTGTTTCTCACAACAGTATCCTTTCAAATTTCATTTCAATTCTAAAGTATTAATCAGCAACATACACTTTTATAGTTAGAGAATGGCAAAATGCTAAGAAAGTCATTTAGTAATTTTAACACTCATTTAGCATTCAACTTATGGGTTTTGTCTCAATAAGAGTGAAAAGAAAAGGATACTGTGTCTGGATTTCCTTTCAGGGTGCAGCAATTGTTCTTCAAAATTATGATTTTGATCTTTTAAATATTACTCGACAATAGTTTACATGCTTTACATGTACATTTTCTAGATGAAAATATACAATTAAGTTATTCTCAGTTATTTTCATATCAATTAAATTAATCTTACTCCCATCAGAAATGAGAAAGTACTATTGCACCCATTGTAAGTTTGTGGCCCTGCCACACATTGTTTTTAAGGTGTATCAATCAGTCACAATGTCTACTGTGTTGATTGGAATGCAACTTTTTACAAAAATTTCAGAAATGTTACAGAATCAGTCAGCTGCTGTTACCTGGAACGTTTGCTTCCGCTGGTACTTTCTTCTCTGTTGCAATTCTGCAAAAGCAGCTGCACCTGTTCCATACGTGTACGCCATGTGTGGGAGGAAGCCCATTTGATCTAGCCCTGGATATGGTCGCAGACCTGGAACACTAGACTGGACTGAGGGCATAAAAGCAGCTGGGGGAAATGCGTTTTGTGGTGGAAGCGTTGTGTACAATGGTTTGGCACTAAATGGATTTATACTGAATACTGGCTTAGTGCTTTTCTCTAGGGTGTTGTTAGTATTAGGCAATTCCTTCTTCAGGAAAGTCAAGTTTAAGGGCTCATCTGGGTTCTCTGATGGATAAGAAATACTGTTATGGTCAACAATAATACTATTGGTTTTATTTCTTATTTTTCCTGTGACAACACTTTTATGTTCGTTCTTTTGTTTTGGCAAAGACAAGTCCAGAGGCTCAGCCTGAGGCTCTTCTGAAGAGAAGCTGTTTGGAGTGTATGAGCTACTATGAGAGTTCTTAGAGGAAGTAGAGGAAAGATTCAAAGGGGAAGGAGTATTGCTCCTTGAGTGGTCCATCTTATCACCAATTGGTTTAATACTGTTAAACTGAGAAGATTTAATAAGCCTGAGAGGTGCATCACAATTAGTAACACTGTTATGCAGTTCTGCTATTGATGGTGACGTTATTGAGTCCATCGGCTTTAATGCTGCTGTTGTGTGCCTAGCTGACAGACAGTCTTTATTTATGAACATGTCAGTGGCAACCGATGCCAACTCAGCACTGGTCCGATCCAGTGGCGGTGACCTGGAATTAGAGAGCTGGCAGACCTTCCTTTGCTCAAACCATTCTTTTACAAAATCCTGAGGGAGGCCAACAGCAATGGAAATTTTCAGTAGTTCTTCAGAATTTGGCTCCATATTCATGGCATAATAAGCTTTCAATACAGACATGTGGTCCTTATAAGCATTTATAGGGCTGGGGATACCTTTTTCTGAAAGAAGGGAGGATAACATATAAGCTTGCTTTTCACCTGGCGCTCCTGTTTTATTGGTAATTACAACTTCACTTGGTTGAAGTACAGCTTTGATTTCTTCATTCATCTTGCACATGTAGCGTTCATGCTGATGTAAGGGAATGGGACCAGGGAAAGCCTCCCTGCAAAACTGACAGGAATAAGGAGATGTGTTATTGTTGTCAAGTGTCTTTTCCTCCATACCAAGATCTAATGCAGAACAGCTCATGTTACGCAGCCTGTCCTTTTTCAAATTGCTCATTTGCCTTTGTGTGTCCGTGTTCAAGCTCTGAAGACAAGCTTTGGCTTCATTCACCTTTTCTAGTGTGTAGTCAATAATACTTTTAGTGGCACCATTATGGCTGACAACTGGAAGACCAACAGATGGCATAACAGGGGAGGTAACTCCTTGTTCCTCAGCCAAGGAAGCTTGACAGGCTGGCTCTTTCACATGATAACCTTTAAGTCTTGAAATCTCTTCAGATTTGCAGTCCATTTTTTGCCTACACACTGTATTGTCAACAATTTTGAGGACCTTTTGGACTTCACTTAAGTTACTGTTTGCTACATTTGAAAAGTTTAGTATTGGTGCTTCTATCCCTACTCCTAAGTGCTGCATTGGACTTAGAACTGAGGTGTTGATTGACAGTGCGCTGCTATCTCCTACTCCACCATTTGGAAAATTACCAAACCCATGGGAAGTCATTATGGCTTTGTAGTCATTGAAATCTAGTGGCTCTGTCTTAATTTTAAGTAGTCCTGGCTGCTCAGGAATACCAAGAGGCTTGCCGTTCTCCAGTTTATGCCTCAGTTGTGTAATTGCTGAATTTGTAGGAGAGGAAGAAGCTGAAGTCGGAGAAGAGCCCGGTTTTAAGCTAGTTCGCATCCTGCCATTGACTGAAATCAGGCCAATGCACTTCTTGCTACTGATGTGAGAACTGTAGGAACCGGAGTGAGAAAATCGTTTCTTGCAGTTTGGACACTCATATGGCTTTTCACCTGTAAAATGTTTTAAGCAATTAAATTTAAAATTATATATGTTAGGTGATCTCATCAAAATTACTCATTTTATCAAATTAATGAATTAAACACAAATGAGAATATATCTTGAAACTCACAGGAAGGAAACCATTCATCCTATCATATTCCCATTGACCAAGAAAGAACTGTCCAGCCTAAACCTATTTTCTACATCCTGATCCATAGCCTCAAAGGTTATGGCAGTTTTGGTGCATATACAAGTACTTTTTAAACAGATCTTTGCCTCTATCACTGTTTCAGACAGTGAATTCTAGTTCTCAACCACTCTCTAGGTAAAAAAACATTCGCACTGAATTCCCTCTAAACCTCCTACATCTGACCCTAACCCTAACCCTAACCCTATTATCCTAACCCTAAGTCTGTTTCCCTGATTAGGAACCCTTCAATCAATGGGCACAGGTCCTTCCTATCAACTCTTATCTAAACCACGTATACTCCATGTTGTCATTAGGTAGTGCTGAAAAAAGGTACATTTTCTCAAATGCCTAAGTACCTATCCCACAAATGGGTAATATGGTATATGAATTTCAGAGTCTGTGTGATGCCAGGTATACTAGCTTTACTGGTAGATCATATCAAGCAGCATATTCCCTTGTTCACAACAAACAATGCACCAATGGCACCCAATTTGCCTGTGCTTATGGAACTCACAAATGTGTACAACATTATAGGTGATTCCACAATTAGACATTTGCTGGATTATCCTGAGTCTGTGAAGCATTACACTGATAACTAATTTAGGATTTGCAGTCTGGCTCGCAAGATGGTAACTTGCATGTACTGGAAGCTACATATATTAATATACAGAGCCATTTATGTTGCAGACAGAAAGAACATGCGCACACACTACGCCTGTTTCAGCTGAACAAAACAGGCAACAGCCATTCACTGTTTCATTTCTCGATATGATGCCTTGACTAATTACAGTCAACCTGCCTGGTTAACATTTAACCAGCCCGGCAGTTCTTTGTCAGTTATCATTAACTGCTGCAGTCCCCATTTCAATGCCTCTGCTAATCAGAGTTCCCTTGCCAAACAATCAGCACTTGCCTCTCATACAGTATCAATAATGTTATTCCCCATAAATTGGTATTCTTGAGGAATGTCCTGATGAGTGCAAGATAAAAAGCTCTAACAAACTGCATTTTTAGTCAGCCATCTTACACATTTCAATTAGGTCTCTTCTCAGCCTCTTCTGTTCCAAATAAAACATCCCTAGCCCATCTATTTTTTCCTGAGAATTAAAATTCTCCAAAATAAATAAACATATATTAATTATATAAAAATAATGACATTTGATGGTTCCTTTATATTTTATATTCTATAATGTATAATATAAAATCATAGGGGTAATTTAACAAATTTGTTCTCTTACTGTGGAGCTTCCCTCACTTGTAGCACATATTAAGATTCCAAGAGAGGACGTCATCTGTTCCCGTTGGACTTTCTGGATAATAATTTTAATGGACAGATATCCTGCAAGATCTAAAGGTGTTTGCTCCAGCAATTTCAATGTGTAGTTCTGACAGGTGAAGCTCCACATCAAGAGTCTTTTTGTAAAACCTAGCTTCATCCTTCAAAGCGTATCTTTTATCTAGCAGACTAAGAAATGTTCTGCTTACCACTATGAATTCGCAGGTGTTCCTTCAGATGGTGTTTGTACTTAAAGGCCTTGCCACACTCTGTGCATTTGAACTTGCGATTACCAGCACCATGGGTCAGCATGTGGTGCTACAGAGGGAAGATAGTGAAATGAGTCTTGTGCACAGCTTGGTGAAATTTGTGAACAGTCACAGCTAACAGAACAGACATGCCAAATGGACCCTATTTACATACAGACATTCTAGATACTACAAGCTCCTAAGTCTCTTTGTCTTTTAAATCATGATTTCTGAAAGAATTGCTAAACCTTTCAGGTTTCACATCACACACAACAAAAAATTTCCAAAAGAAAGTCATTGCCACAAAAAATACAAACACCATAAATAACAGCTTCTGTGCTAAAACCATTCTGTCATTCTATTCTATTATCTGACACATTCATGTCAAGTGTCATATTGCCAGAAGTAAAAATGTATTTTTTACTGGGACCTTGTGGATTAAATGTATATGAAGTGTCTTAACAGTAGCAATTTAATAGTTAAAATTTATTAATATGCTTTTGTTACATTGTGTGAAAAAAAGTTAAAATCTCAATAGGGCTGACCTTTTTTAAACATCTGGCAGCAAGCACAATATGAAAATTAACTGGTAAGAAATTAAATTGATGGCAACGGATACTCAAGGTAGGAGGTCAGCTTTCTAAAGTAGCAAGATACAAAAGCTTTGTAAAGGAACAGTGCTGAACAGTGTGACAACTGCTAGGGTGTGCTGACTCTTCCCACATTCCTGGTGAGACAGATGGTGTTGGACAGGACACAGGGAGGTTTGTTCAAACAGCAGCAACCTTCAAAGATCAAGCAAACCCTTGCCTGCAGAGCGCCAATGAGGGACTGGTGCTCATATGTTGCTGAGCTGCATAAACAAACAGCAACAGCTGCTTTGTCTCCCCTCAATCCTTAGAGGACTGATGCAAACTTTAGTTGCGCCTCTGTTAATATGATACAATCATTTGTAATTACTAAGTGGGAGTACCATGATCAAATTAGGGAGCTCCTTTTTCAATTCTAAAACTAAACAGAAATAAATAAAATGGGAAGATGCAAACAGAAAAGGAAACAACACAGCACACAAACTGGGCAAAATAGCCCAGCTCAACACAGACAAAATAGTCTGATTCTATAACAAAACAGGTACACACTTCCAAGAATTAGAATTCTTTTACAGCGTGTTTCAAGCTTCGGGTAAAATAATGATGGGGTTTATGTTCAATGATACAAATGTAAGCCTTATGTCATTTTTCTGAGGCTTTCACAGAACATTTAAATGATTTTACATCACTGGAATGCTGTCAACTAATGCTGCATTGTATCCCCAGTATCAGTGGCACTCTTTAATATAACAGATCCAACGTCTAATGACTTGTCTGCATCAACAACTCACACTTTGCTGAATTCTGTGATCCACCGTTAACCTTCAGTTAAACAAAAAAAAAGCTGTTTCCCTCATTTTTAGCACTGGGAATAATGGGTCTCCACTATAAATTTATTGTGATGGTTGAAATAAAAAAAAAATGGAAAGTGGTCCACGGAGCTTGAGTGCATTGGTTTGAGTGTTGCTTGCTATATTCAATTTTATCATGTTAAAGTGCCATCAGTAAAATTGAGAACATCATTATTCTATGGGCAGAGATTATTTTCCTGACAAAGGGTAAATGTAATACCGGTATTTGAACCTTTAAAAGAGAGTAGGAGTCAGGTTCAAAATATTACAGTCACCTTTTATAACAATGCTGAGTTAAAATCAACCTTGTGTTTTTAATAAGGCACATTCCATAATTCCTGGAAACATTTTAGAATCAACTTTTAATGGTACAGACCCTGCACCAAAAAGTGAAAGAGAAACTTAATTTAAAATAAAATTGCACTGACAGAAAGTGTTTTTTTTAAATATATGAAATAGAACTGTCATGAGAGAAAAAAAACAAAGCATGATGTATCACTGCTTAAAGTTTCCAAAGGAATTTGTTTCTTGCAATTTCTTGGATAATTATCTCATCTTCTAAAGTAGCGAAGCTGTCATGTGCAAAGGTAAATATTTGAATGAAATCATTCTCCCAAAATGATAACAATGGAATAAGTACACTTCCACAAACCCATTTACAATCTATGGCATTTCACATCTCCCACAAGGAGGCAGAGGAAGTTACACTACATAGCACAAATGGTTTAGTAATGGTTAATCAAAGAAAGTGTTCCGTTGAGAGGGGTGCACGTGTCTGCCAAAGAACAGGGAATAGTTTTATGTAAAATACCTCCTTTTACCATTGACAACAACTGAGTTATGTCAGTACCACAACAACAAAAATATTGATAAATCTCATCCCACAAAGGATTGTTATGGGGAGGGATGGGTGGGTGAGGACAATAACTCAATCAAAATAATAACCATTCAAAATCCAAACGTTTGACCATTTGTTAAATTGAAATCAACCAAATGTGGTGTGAGAGAGTTGGCATTACCATTAAAATAAAAAGTATGGTAGGAAAGAAAGCAAATGATCAGCAAGGATGGTAGCATCACTAAAAAAACATATGCTTTTAGCTATTAGTTAGGCCATTGGCTGCATAGATTTGAATCACCTAATTTGATTAAAGAGCATGAGGACAACGGTATTGTTGAGATGACACACTATTTTAATGAGATTTTCAAAACCAAGGTAAAACCCCAAACTTAAGCTAAACTTAAGTTCAAGTGCTGATAATGTTTCTAAATTGGATATTAAAATGCTCACTCAATCGTGAGTACATGATATTAAATCATCCTGGAAGAGACCATCAAAAAACCATTTAGACCTAAATTAGAGCTATTACCATTAAAGATTTGCATCTTCAAAATGCCATAAAAAATTAATAGCCAATGGAAATTAAAATGATATTTATCCTCTAAGGGTTACCCATACCCATCCAGAAGCCCCACCTGATCTCTCCCTGGCTTGTGCGTGGCCATATGTCGTTCAAGCTGGGTGCGGTAGGCAAATGTGTAGTTGCAGAGAGGGCAGGAGAAGTTGTCTTCATTCTTTTCATGTCGATATTTAATGTGCTCCTTCAGTGATGTCAAACGCTTGTAGCCCCGGTCACAGTATGGACAGGTCAGCAGTTGGGCAAAAGCATCTGGAGTTCCAGGTGGCAGGTCTGCAGCCAGGGAGGGGAAAGAGAGAGCACAGGCCAAGAGGTCAGCAATCAATGGCAGTTAATGGGATGACTGCCCGGATGGTATGACTGGAATCGTTGCAATCTGCTGCTTCAAGTGCCATCATTACAGTGGCCTCTGCACACTTCAATTCCCCATACACACCCAGGCCAAGCTTGTATATGTCATTCCATTCTGCGTCTGGAACTTCAGACTTGAATTTCATCTACTTTTGTTTTAAAGAAATGATTTTTCCTGAACAATTCTACTTAAATATACAACACACTCAGGAGAAGACTCTACCATCTCATTTAATATTTCAACATTTATAAAAGCAAAAGAGTAATAATCAATGAGCAAACATACAGCTTTTTAAAACAGCCAACCATCATCAAAGAAAGCAAAATCCAATTACCCTTTTTTTAATTTTTGCTTTCGAGGTATGAGTAGTTTTGAATGGTTTATTCACATTATGTAAATGTTAGTGTGGATAATAACACGTTGAGATTTCCTGTTGAAATATTCAAGAGGAAGCCATTTTGCAAAATAAATCAGTACTTAAAACAAAAAAAAATTCAGTCACTTCTTGCAGTGAACACTACAGGAATTTGTAAGGATTTTGTTTTCACCATACACTTTAGAGGGAGCATTTGGTTCTCACTGGGGTGACATGAAAATAATAAGAAAGTGTGCCTAGCCGTGAATATTTTGTGTGAAGAAAAAAGTGGCAGAAGATGGAAATTGACTAAAAAGGAGACAACACAAAACATAAAACTGCTATTGACTGAAACCCAGGAATAAAGTGACTATGTGAAATCCATTGTGTGCTCTTATCCATATGAAAATAGCAATATTAGCATAGATTTAAACAGAAATTTGATTAATGTTTAAAATGCGAGTACAACAATGCCCACATAATAAATGGCAATGTTTGGTTATATTTAAAAACATGGATTTTGTGCCTTTGAGGGTTAGGCTTTTCAAATATTTTTAAACCAGTTAATGGCCAGGCAAAACAAATCTTAATAGCTGTGTGTTTATTGCTCCCAAGTCTGAAGTGTCGCTTTAATTTCTCTACAAGTGGCCACTTTGAAATAAAAAGAAAACTCATATAATGGTTAAAGTTTAGGTGTGTAAAAAGTGAAATCATTTAAGGTTTCAAATGACGACCTGGGACCATAGCAAGAAGCAGGGACACTGGTTATAAGCAAATCACCTCCTTAAAATCAATCATGCTTTCCTCCCCATCTGCTGGCTGAAACTGGCCCACTTATACCCGACGGCAGTAATGCTTTCAAAATGTGCACAGCTGCACTCTGGTTGCTACTCTGGGTTGAAATGAAGTGTAGTTCAATTGATTTGTTATAACCCAAATTGATCTTCACCAGGTAGGAATTAAAAGCATGTTTTAGCGTCAGTCCTGCCTATTTCAAATTTGTAGCTGACTTTTGATAGAGATATTCGAATGATTTGATAAATTTGTAGCTCACTTGTGATAGAGATATTCCAATCACAACAGTGAATATTTCATGTAATTTTTCAATTTTTCGGGTAAATTGACTTTTAGCAGTACTGCTAACGTTGATGATTACAAACAAAAGGGAAAGGTTAATATATCTTTTGATTGACATCCTTGAAGGACAAGCAAACTTGAAAAGGGGAAAATTCAAATAGAATACTGCAAATGAAACAGGTATTGAACTGGGGTATTTCCCTTGTAGGGAAACAGTGGGAAATGGGAAGGGCGTTATTGTGGGGACTCTGACAGAGAGAATGTAAAGGTAAGAAATTTGCAAACTGACATCCATTTTGTTTCTTGGTCAAGGTTGCTTTTCATCTGAAACGAGAATGTTTTGATTCTAAACATCACAGGGAAGTAAGTTGAATATTCTAATCAGGCAGTTACCATGAACTGTTGAAAACAGACGATGTGGGCTGCAAATAGATTTATCCCATTACTAACTGCTCAGAGAGAAACAGAGGTCCTCATTATCTAAATGTATTGTTTAAGCTGGGTAGCTTTATAAAAGAAATAGATTTTCATTTGGATTTCTTCAGCACAAATCCTTTGATCAGCTCATCCGAAAAGGCAAGGAAAATACTGACCCATCAACAAAGATGGCAAAGATTTCACATGTGGCGGTCAGAGGGTGGGGTATGTTGGGCAATAAGGAACATAAACACCAGACTTATGTTTCAGCCTTGGAATGTAACATAACACTAATGTATTTCTCTAGGACATTTTATAATCTTGTTTCAATCATACTTACAAAATAGATATTTGTTACACTCACCCACTACAGGGTAAAGTCTTTTACCTGCCGCTGTCAACTGAATATGTAGGAACATTTTTTAAAAATCTGTTGTTTCATAACTTATGAAACTAGATTGTTTGTTATTGCTAGAAATGTTTATATATCTCTACTTTGTCCCTTGAATTTTGTATATTCAGTAAACTCTATTAAATATATTTTTTGTGACAGAAATAACTTTTCAGATGCATTATCATATCTATTAAATAACAAAAGTTACCACTGAAAAACTGCAGAAATAGTTTATAGAGACAATGCTTTAACATTGTGGACAAATGGGCATGGTATGGACAGCAATATTGTTTCTATAGTATGGTTTTTCTTAGTTAAGCTCACAATATACAGTAAGCCTGGAACAGCCCGCTATAAAGCTGCTCCATAACAGACAACCAAATTATTAAATTAAAAATAAACGAGCTTCAAAAATGAAAGCCCACCCATTCCTGTTAACTTCATTCCCACATGCAATATTCTAGATACACAGTGGTTTCAACTTTCAAACGTTTTTTTTTGACAAGGAATGGCACTGTTATTGGTCAAACTGGAAATGCGCTCTTTTCCATCATGTTGTCACGAACTTGCAATCTGATGCGCTTTTTCTTTGACAAGTCAAGAAACAAAAGGTCATACCCAACATCAAAAATTAGTGGACGCCTACTGAAATATGCCAGTTGATGTTCCATTCCAAACTCACAACAACTTCCATCTGGAAAGGTAAAAACAGCAGATACATGGGAAAACCACAACCTTGCAATTTCCCTCCAAGCCACTCACTATCCTGATGCGGAAATATATCGCCATTCCTTCTCTGTCATTGGGTAGAAATTTTGGAATTTCCTCCCAAGGGAATTGTGGATCAACCGACGGCAAGTGAACTGCAGTGGCTCAAGAAGGCAGCTCACTGCCATGTTCTCAAAGTCGACTAAGGATGAGCAATAAATGCTGGCCAGCCAACGATGCCCACATCCCAGTGAATGAATAAAAATATCAGTAGCTCCTGCTTCAGTTTTAGATGTATCAAAGAGCGGAATCTGCACACTGCTTCATCCAATGAGCACTGAGAAACTTAAAGAATTGGCTTTTAAGGGACTATTGCAGACCACTCTCAAAACAGCGCATAAAATTGTCTGATGCTGATTATTTTTTGGTAGCTAAGAGGAACATAAATGCATCTTCTAGCTCCCCACGTATTTTCCTAAATACTTCAAGTATCCCCATGCCTCCTGCCCCTTCCCCTACCAACAATGCCTCACATCCCATCCCTCACACCCTACCTTCCACCAACCTACAACAGCATTGTGACCGGCATTTTACAATCTTGCATTGATACTAGACACTCTAGTATTAGCACCACCATCTTCAAATCCTTCTCCCAGCCACTTACCATCCTGACTTGGAAATGTATCACCGTTCCTTCAGTGTCGCTGGGTCAAAATCCTGGAATTCCCTCCATAAGGGCATTATGGGTCAACTCACACAGATGGACTACAGTGGTTCAAGAAGGCAGCTCACCACCACCTTCCCAAGGGAAGCTAGGGACGGGCAGTAATGCTGGCCAGCCACATCCCACAATGAATTTAAAAAAAAATCTACCTCTTTCTAAATTGTGTTTTGTATTGCTACTAGTATGATGAGTAGTCTAGAAAGTACATAAGATGATTTTACAAAACATACTTTGAAAACAATTGACCAACTCTAACTTATAACAGCAAGAACAGGTGGGGTAACAATTAATCTACTGATTAAATGAGCATCCTACGCATGAATTGTGAAACTGTAAATGTCTGTGTAAGAAATCTGGCTTGTAAAGGAGCTGTCCTGTCTGAATCATACTTTAAATCAATAACAAAATACTTTTTACTATCACTGATTAAAAACAATAATAAGCTTCCATCCATTGAAAAAGTGACCTGCTTGTATTTTAGTATTTCTGAAATTTCTCCATCCCTCATATTCAGAGTAATATCTCATGCTGAGTTATTTTCTATTGAATTATGTAGGCATCTTTTCATATTTGCTTCTTTACAATAAATCTCTGTTTGCTAAAGAACCGAAGGCCATTATAACTGAGACTGAACACAACAACCCTTTTCCATTTGCATACCCTCAGTTTAAGTTGGGCTTTGTCTGTAGGAAGTCCAGTGATCCTAGTCATATGTCTTTTACTTTCCTAAACTACGAACACTTAGATCGGTATCACTACCAGAACTAGTTTATATCTTAATTGTCTTTGCTGTTTTGAATGAGCAAAGCCTGTGGAACTCTAAAATTGAGTGCCCTTCTCCCACCCAACTCATGGGATCAAAAATGTCACAAGGGGACAGTTAGTATTCTGGCAAGTTGTGAACAGCTCATTTGACCGCAACTTACAAGAATGCCAACCCCACCAACATCTTGTTACGGCCTCCAGTTGTTTACTCAATTAATTCAGTGTCCTAGGCTGTATTCCCCTGCAGCTGTTCCCCATTTTCCAGATAGCAAATGGTACAGGAACAATTACATCAGCTGCCAATACCTGCCTACAGACAGCTGCAAGATCCATCCATTCCCAAAATGTAGCAACATACCCTTAAAAAAGGTTAACTGTTCTCACCCACCACAAAAAAACACAACTATACAACATGTGGACAAATAATACTGGATTTTCATGGAGATTTGAAAATAGCATTCAGGACACAAATCTGGGATATCTGATCCTATTCCCAGGGTTTTCTCATTTTTAACAAGTGTCATTTAGGCAAGAAGGTTGGTCTGCGTCCTGTGCCCTCAGCCAGCAATGCTGATTTGGCTGGCTCCTTTGCAGAGATAGGTATTCCTGTGTCCTCCAACTTACATGGACTTGGGCCAGCTCTAAAAAGATTCATGGTTAATGGTAACTCAGAGGTGTTCTGAACCATAGACTGGAAGAGGGAACATTTGAAAGGCAAGTTCAACATGTCTTACCAATGGGCCTCATGATAAACTATGCACTCCCCCTCAAAGCCTTCTACATTTTGCCCCTGCACCCAGCTTCTGCCCCCCCCCCCCCCAAGGCCCCTCATACTCCTAATATCAAAATTCCCATTTACCTACTGTGAAGAAGCAACAAACCCTATGACAATGGGATGTGTTTTAAAATGTTCTTTTTTTAATGACATTCATTTAGAACCTGCCATTTTATTTTTTTTTAATATTCCTTTCACTGAGGGCCAGTAAAAGTATAAATCTTCCAGGCTCTTTAAATTAGTAAAGCAGAAACTATAAGCACTTGAACCCTCTTTACCATGTGTAAATAAACATTGTGCAAACAACAGAAGGAAAGGGACGGCCAGACCTGTCAATCATGCAACATTTTCCCTGTTGTTCAACTATTTCAACAGACTCATGGATGTCTGGCCTCTCAGCAAAAAGTACATAATGAGGTAGTTAAAGGAATCTTTTTTTAGAAAGCAAAGTATGAATGAATGACTTTTTAAAAGCTTTTTTGAAACATACTATTGTCATTATAAGGTTCATTGATTCTACACAGTGGGTGACTGGTCATGTAAGTGTATCATTAAGGGTATCATTGACAGCGTTGGGTGGGTTTGGGGTGTAGCTTGGCATACAGCGTAAAAGGGGTCATGGGGGATGAGGGAGACACATAAAAACCTTGGCTAAGGGGCATGAGAAGCCACTGAGAGTAGGTGAGGGTGGCATGAGATGGCATAGATGGGGAGTATGTGAGGGCTGAGAGAGTTAGAGAGCCTTACTGTTCTTATTACAACAGGAATGAAGTCCCATGACATTTTAAACAGCCCACCTTTGCAGGTGGCAGCCTATGACTGCCTCTGAACTATATCCTAGGTTGTTTAGCCCATGACTGCAGACCTTTTTGCAGACTCTTTTTCCAAGTCAGGAGAGCCTGTTTTCATAGTTTTATAGAGTATAGCATCCACTCATGGACGATACACGCTTGGATTTCAAGGTTTATTGTCTTTCTTGGAACATCTGCAGGCATATCAACACTTTCAGGAGAAGGGGCATCACCAGTATCCAACATCTATCCACTTCCTTGTATTTTCCATCAGGAATAATTAGATAACAGCCAGAAATGGGAACTTGGTTGTTTACCCACTTCGTAGTGTTTGCTCAAGGAGTCCAATTTTCATGTCCCAAATGCTGACCCAGCTCTATTTATCTAACTCAGCATACTCAACAACCAGATCGGCAACACTTAGTTCCTGTTACCACACTGTCTGGTGTGTTTAAGCATTGAAAGTTGTGGATGGTAGAGATGCAGGGGCTCATCTGTTACTGGTTATATTTGAAAAATTTTGAAATCGTCCAAGAAAGAGAATGTAAATGATTATTTTATGTAATAGCCAACTGGAAAGTTATACAGGATAATGCCTTTGAAACAACTCTTTTAAGTGGGTAAATGCTTAAGTGGAGTCAACTGTATTAAAGTAAATAATAGTAAAGCATTCCTGCACCTGCTGTACTAAGTGTGTGGTCTATTTAAACAAATACTAAAGTAGTATTTGTAAAGCAAATGTGTGGAACATAACATACCATTATGAAAAATTGAATGTTTAAAATGTCATATCTGACAGTCTGTAGCAAAATGCATGATGCTACATCTGATATTAGGCCCCTGACAGCTGTCACAAATCTCTCAAAGTTTGAAGGTAGACACTGAGCCATGCAATTAATTTAAGGTGTAAAAGTATCAATGTAGGGGCGAATATTGTGAGAGAGGCTCACCATTGTCCTCTTGCCCATTGGCCTCTGGTGTTCCATGCCGAGACAGTTCTTCAGGCGCTTCTGGATAGATAATGGCTGTGTCACTCCGCTGCAAATATTCCGCAATGCTAACTGCATGGCTGTCTCCTTCTTCGAGCTTCCGTTTGGCAAAATACTCTTCAAAATCTGATGTGCAATCTACAGTCTTTCCTAAAATAATACATTGAGGGAAGGAAGGAGAGAGAAGAATGTCAGTCACCCATGGTCCAATCTTTCTCTACAACCCAGAGTGACTTGGCATCTCTCGAGTTACAATGTACAGTTCTGAAAGACTGCAATTTTACTTGGAATTTCTGCTTCCCCATACAGTTTAGCTCTTGTGGGAACTCTAACTGTTAGGTGGAGATAGCTGAAATAATCACAAACAAAGCAAATAAAACCACAGCCTTCATTAGCCAGGAAATGACAGGCCCTTATTGGTACATGCTGATTACAAGCCTAAACTGCCTGACTTGCTGGCATGCCAAGTTTTACTTCTGTTTTCCTCAGCCTTGTTATCTTTCAGGGTTTTTCCTTGAATTTTTGTTTTGTTACAGACATTTCAAACTTACATTGGAAACCTAGGTGCTATTTAATGAGAAAAACATTGATAACAAGAAACTATGTATTTCACAAACTATCTGATGACCTAGAGCTTCCATGCTTTCAAAAAAGAGGGGTTTCCCTGCAGTCGAGTAACTTTAAGTTTGTGGTGTAATCAATAATGTTAGGGAGCAAATTCTTTACAGTACTCTGACATAATGGAGGAAATTTAAATAGACTCTGAAAACAAGCATAATTAGCCTTTGCCAATTTTATGTGCCTTTCTTTTTAAAATGTCCAGCAAATGCGAAACAAGTTATTAATCGGCTGGATGCATCAATAGGGGAACAATATCATGAGTGACTCTGTTGCTTAGAGCTAGCCCACAACAATGGAAAGGAGAAACAGTTTGTAGCAGATTCAGGTGCTGGAATTCATATGTGAAGAGAAACTGACTTGGGAAAGAGTGGGAAATGTCACATTAGGTGGCAGCAGGCCTCATGGCTTGTTTTTGAATGCAAAATGGGGAGGGGGGGAGGTTAGTGAAAGATATGGAAAATAGGAGCAATGTTTTGTATCTGTAGGAGAAGGATGTTCCTCAGACACACAGCAGGCAGGTGGATAGGTAGCCATGAAGGTTGATACCAGGATTTAAGTCTGAAGAACTGTATGCAGGGCCACAAGAAACTCAAAGACCTTGATAGGACTAGTGAAGGACAGAGAATGCAGCGCCAAAT